AGTGACAGGGCCACTTTATCCTTCAATGCTTACAGAAAAAAATCTTATTCTGCCTAATGTCAGGAAGATGAAAAAAGACGTGATATCTCTTAGGGCTCATGTACACTGCAGCTGATAAAATCATGTTTAGGAGCTGTTCAGCGTTTTTTTTCAGCAGCCACTAAGCTCACCCTAATGTTTTCCTATGTGTCAATGTATACATCTTCGTTTACAGTCATTTACAGGCATTTGAGTTTACAGTCTTTTTTTTTGAACGCAGAAAACTCGCTTTCAGCAGTCGATTTTATCAGCGTTTCAAACGCAAAACTCTTGTAAATGTGGCAAATCGCGTTTATAAGCGTCTGCAAATTGTTTTAACTCTTTCAGTTCCCGATGCTGTCCAGAGCCTTTTTTCATCATGAAAATTGCATGCAAAGCTTTTTCAAGGTACTCAAATGGACAAAACACTGAACACAAGATGTTCCTACTAAGCTTGTCACACATTGTAATGACCAATTCACACCTCAGGCCTCTCCCACCCTTGGAAACAAAAGATATGTTAATGACCATTCACACCTCAAATTCCTCATGAAGACCCCCTACCAGGTGGCCTTAGTGACTCACTCCACCAGAGACCTTTCCCACCCTTGGAAACAAAAGAAATGTTAATGAGCAACTCACACCTAAGCTAATCTCAACACATACTGCTATCTCTGCTTCTACTCTGTGTTTCTCTGAAAAACAGTCTGAAATAGTTACTAATTTACCACTTTTCAGTGCATTCTGGGCATTTTGGAGGTTCTCCTGTGCTTATCTTTAAAAAATGCTTCTAAACGCAAACGCATATAAATGCATTATGCAAACGTGGCTAAACAGACATTTTTTAACCTACGTTTTCCAGCAGTCAGTTTCCATCATTGAGAAGTGTCCCGTGTACATGGAGCCCTATTGTCTAACTGAATATGTTTTAGCGTACACTTACATGAATACTTGGTTCTGTTTGTCAACTATAGGGTCATACAAATAAGTGGAAGGTCGCATAATTAGAAATACACAATCAGAATGAACTTAAAATAAACAAACATAGTGAACCACATGAGGAGACACATGCATAAATCAGTGGAACTGTTAAAGTGTTTACAAGTAAGTTCATGAAATGAACCAGCAAATGTAGAGGTATAAAAAGTCTTTTTATGCTGCCCTTTGCATTTGCTACCTGTCAAAGGGCAGATTTATATGTGAAATAAAAATAACAGTAAATGACAGAATGAGTGGGTCCCAGCCACTAACTAAATTGAATATTAGGTCAATATGCATACAAAGCATGTAGCTACTTGTCATTAGACTGTTTCCCTTTTGTAGTGATCAGCATGTATCTATGAGGGGGTCTGCATTTGGCCTACGCAAGTCAGGACACGTCACATAGAAACATAACAGTTTTACCTCAGTTTTGGTACTATACACTAGCAAAGAATTTCATAGGTATGTTTAACTATATTAAGATTTTTTGTTCAGGGCTTAATTGCTAATTAGCAAAACTTGTAGCTTTATTTAAACAAAAATTTGCAGCGCAAATGTCACAAGCATTTCCACAGCCATCACAAATAATGCCTGTATTTAGTCTAATATGTTTATTTTCTATGATCATCAGCTCCATCTAGTGTCTTAAATTATTTCCTAAAATTCACCAATCATACCGCATTATTGCCAACAGATAAAGTAGATAATCAATATAATAACACACACACACATATATATATATATATATATATATATATATATATAAACATATTAAGCAAAAAAAGGGGATTATTCATGACGACTGAGTGAATGCCGGAGACATTCACACAGTGAGGTTTTTTCTTTATAAATAGACCCCTTTGTCAGGACTTGGATCACCTGTTGGTGACACTGTGGTTCCCTGGGTGGAGGGTTATAGTTTCGATGTCCATCATAGTTACATAGTTAGTCTGGCTGAAAAAAGACAAAAGTCCATCCAGTTCAACCAAAAAAAAAAAAAAAGTTATATTCCTATACCCACATGTTATCCGGAGGAAGGCAAAAAAAAATCCAGCAAAGCATGATCCAATTTGCTCCTGCAGGTGAAAAGATTCTTCCTGATCTCCCCTCCCGAGTGTATCTAGGAAAGAATCCAGGCCTTTTTTAAAGCAATCCACTGAGCTGGCCAGAACCAACTCTTGAGGGAGTCTATTCCACATTTTCACAGCTCTTACTATGAAGAAACCTTTCCGTATTTGTAGATTAAATCTCTTGTCCTCCAGGCGCAAAGAGTGCCCCCTTGTCCTTTGTGATTACCTAAGGGTGAATAACTCTACACCGAGTTTACTATATGAACCACTGATGTATTTATACATGTTGATCATATCCCCCCTTAATCTCCTCTTCTCAGGAGAGAAGAAATTCAGTTCCTCTAATCTTTCCTCATAGCTGAGCTCCTCCATGCCTCTCATTAGTTTGGTTGCCCTTCTCTGCACTTTCTGCAGTTCCCCAATGTTCTTTTAGTGCATTGGTGCCCAAAACTGAACTGCATATTCCAGATGAGGTATAACTAATGATTTGTACAGGGGTAAAACTGCTATCTTTCTCTGGATTATATTCCTCTTTTAATACAAGAGAGTATTTTGCCCAGTGAGTGTCTTCCAACAGCCAGGAGACCCCAGTACTCCTCAGTTTCCACCTGATGCTGGCTGCTGAGAAGGTATTTAGGTTCTCTCCCTACATGTGTCTCTTGCTCCGGTGTTTGCTGCTGCCTGACTATCTGCCATAGATCTGATCTTGCTCCTGCCCTGCATCCTGTTCCCCTTTGACCAATCCTGATCTCCTTGTATCTGACACCAGTATTGATTCCTCCTTCCCATCTGCTCTCAGTTTTTTCTGCCTTTGTGTTCCCCATTTTGTATATAGTTAGTTGTTATGCTTTTTATTTGTTAGGTTTATTAATCAAGTATTATGTCACTGGTTTTTTTTTGGTTCACTTATATATCTTTATTTTTGCTGTGTGCTGGTGTCTGGATGAATTTTATTTCACTGTAAATAAATCTCACTTTACAAATACACAGTCTGTTCCCAGTTTTCTAAGTGTAGCCACACAGATCTGGCCACCTCTTGTGTTTCAGCAGCTGCAACAATTTGTAGCTTAGTTGCCAAATGATTTTTTCTTCCTTTACAGATAGCTACAGAATTGCCATAGGAAGCTATTCATTCATCTAATATAGATGCTGATGACCATAGTTAACAAGTAGCTGCAGAGACAAGTATTGCAGCCATCCACAACAGCAACTATGTAGCCTAGCACAAATAACTAGTGAACATGCTGGCTGTTGCAAAGCTCTGCTTCAACGCTGATGATGTGACATGGCTCAGTACTGGGAAAAGCAGGGGGAATTTATACAATAAAGCAGAAAATGCTAAACAGCACACGCATTTAACTAAAATATATCATAAACCTTTTTTTTCTTTGTAGAGTGAGGCCAGATTTAGATGAAATAGGAAAATTATTTTTTTTCCATTCCAAAGTAGATACATGCCAACACAGCAAGGCCACTGTGTGTTGCATTTGCCTGCTGTGACTGCACAAAGGAATTCATGAGCATCTTATCCATTTGAATGAGCAATGTTGAATGTTGTGTACACTTTTATGTGGACCCATTCACACCACAAATGCATCTAAGCCTATTTTCTATTTTTGATTAAAAAAATGTTTAACATAATAATATAGTTGGATGGAAACATGGTTACCAAGCCAGATTTTTTTAAATGCAACAAGATGCTACTATTACTGAAAATTGCTAATAGGAAAGACAATGTGCAGCAGTCATTCAAAGTCTCATATGTGTTACAGTCTAGTGCAACCTGGTGCAAAGGCAGCCAGCATGGAGACATTTCACCCTAAGAATGAGAAGGCCTGGCACACAGTGGTTTATTCTACTAAATCTAACATTTTACTTTAAAGACATAGGATCCCTTTGGAATTTTGAGTACAGACACTGAGCCCTCCAAGCAAACCTAAAAACCACAGTTGCACAAAACATACTTTAAATGTTTTGTACTTTCTGGTTTCCTTAGGAACTTGAGATGCAGCCAATGCCTTCCAGCTGTCCCCTGGGAAGGCTATGTCACCAGTTCCTTCCAGGGAGATCTCATGTGTAAATTGCACAAAATAAAAAAGTCTTTCCTCTCAAGGTCTCATATAGCACATGTGCAAGATCTCCCAGTCATATTATCACTGGACCAGCACAGAAAACATGAAAGAAGAAGCTAGCCACATGATGTGTATTTTTAAAATGGTTAGCACTAATTTACATGAGCATGTAGAAAAAAAGCATTAGCATATTGGAAGATTTAAAGAGATGAGACACTTAACCACTTGCCTACTGGGCACTTATACCCGCTTATTTACCAGGCCAATTTTCAGCTTTCAGCACTGTTGCACTTTGATTGACAATTGCGCGGTCATGCAAGATTGTACCCATATGAAATTTTTATCATTTTTTTCTCACAAATATAGCTTTCTTTTGGTGGTATTTAATTGCTGCTGGGCACTTTACTTTTTGTGCTATAAGCAAAAAAAGTGCAAAAAATTTTGAAAAAAAAAAAGTTTTTTTGTTTCTTTTTATAAAATTTTTCAAACGGGTAATTTTTCTCCTTCACTGATGTGCGTTGATGAGGCAGCACTGATGGGCACTGATAGGCGTCACTGATGGGCACTGATAGGCAGCACTGAAGGGCACTGATAGGCGGCACGGATAGGCGGCACTAATGAGGTGGCACGGATAGGCGGCACTAATAAGGTGTCACGGATAGGAGGCACTGATATGCGGCACTGATTGGAGGCACTGATAGGCGACACTGGATAATGGATACTGATAGACAGCACTGATAGGTAGCACTGACTGACATCACTGCTGGGCACTGACTGGCGGCACTGCTGGGCACTGACTGGCACAACTGCTGGGCACTGACTGGCGGCACTGACTGGCAGCACTGCTGGGCTGCACTGATGGGCACTGGTGGGTGGCACTGATGGGCACAGGTGGGTGGGCACAGGGGGGGTGGCACTACTGGGCACAGGTAGGTGGCACTTCTGGGCACAGGTGGTGATACTGCTGGGTGGCACAGGTGGGTGCATTGCTGGGCAACAGGTGGGCGCACTGGTGGGCACAGGTGGGCGCACTGCTGGGCACAAGTGGGTGCATTGCTGGGCACAGGTGGGTGGAACTTGTGTGTGGCACTGCTGGGCACTGATCATCAGGGCACTGGTGATCAGTGACCCTGATGATCGGTGCCAATCCCCGCTCTGACAACTGCCGGTTTTCGGCAGTACTTTCCTCATGATCTGACAGCATGAGGAAAGTGCAGCCGAGAACCGACATTTGCGTTTTCCCGGTGATCAGCGTGTCATTGGACACGGCTGATCACGTGGTAAAAGGCCGCTGTGATTGGCCTTTTACCACGTCACGTGATCAGCTGTGTCCATAGGACACAACGATCATGGAAATCGCCAGGGGGCGCGCAGGGGCGCGCGTTCTGGGAGGACATCATATGACGTCCACCCAGAACTGGCCGGCCGCAGTGCAGCCGTCATTCGGCTATCTGCGGTTGGCAATTAGTTAATAATAATTATATTTATTTATTTAACCATTCTACATTTATTAACGTTGGTGGAATCAGTCATTAGAGAGGAAAGGAAGGGACCCCCCCCCCCTTCCAAACGTACACAGAAGAAAAATGTGAGGTTCTAACACCCTGTATTGAAAACTTTAAAAAACTGTTTGGGATGGGCCACTACTTTAAAGCAGTTCAAGATTTCTGAAGAAAGATATTCTGTAGAGCAAGCTAGGTTTACTGTGCATTGAAGACAGAGCTTTAGTGGTAGAGTGACATCCAGGAATAGATTTGAATAGCTTAAAGGGATATATTCAGCCAGACCACATTTATTGCAAACTGAGATGTAGCATTCATAACATAATACTTCTCTGTGTATCAAAAGCCTTTGACTTTTTATATTTCACAGGAGTCTGATCATTCTGATCATTTCTATGATATATATATATATATATATATATATATATATATATATATATATATAAATGTATGAAATATTTTACAGCAACAACTTCATTCTATAATATTTATGGAGGGAATAAAATTCCTAAGCCAAGATGTAAAAAAGTAACAATGATTTCCTATGAAAACAACAGTGCTCACTATATCAACACAATATAATATTCTTCATCATATATCTCAATGGACAGATGATTATTAGTTACTGCACAGCGTCTCTTGGGTAAACTGCCTTCAGTTCTCATATTGATTATTCAAAAGCTACAGCTGGAAAAATATTACTCTCTAGAGGATGTATAGCAGTATAAATAGAAAACATAGAGGTTGACAGCCAGTAATAACCACTTGAATAGACAAAGCTTTGTGTAAAGTACAGTACATTATCCCTAACCAAGAACTAGAAGGCACAGAGAGGAGAAGAAGCAGAAGAAGTACTTCATAAGGAATAACAGGACCACATAGACTGATGCTTAAAGAAAACTAGGGATTAGGCAAGGATTTGAATATTCACTGATGAATTATTACAGCTGTGCAAGCATACAAACAATTATACTTGCCTCTTTAATTTGCTTTGCCTGAGGACAACTCCGGAGCTGATATTCAGAGCTTTTGTTAATTGCCTAACCTCTTTCTGGTAATATGAACCATTGCCCATCCCTTCAATGTGCATTATGTAAGCATGCAAACCTACAATTTGGTGTTAAGTGCAAACTATTTTGTTATTTTTGTAATACCAACATACACAAGGATGTCTTTTTGAAGCACAAACTAAATGGGTAGCAGGGAGGAGCGCCATTCATAGAATGCTTTGCATTTTCTGAATGAATGCAAAATGTTCTTTGATTAGACAAGGTGGAGACATCAGCATTCTCTGACTGGTGCTCATGCACAGGACACGGAAGCAAGTGGAGATCACTGTAGCAACAGTATCTACTACATTGATTTCCAGCTTTTGGGAGGATTGGCCAGGTATGATTGATGCATAATTACATTGGTCCTGGATGGACCAATGTAACTATATATAAAATATCCATACCTGGAATTATTTTTTAAAAATTGTCATGCAATTCAGGTATTGTTGGTCATTCTGTTTATGAGGAATATTTACTATAGTATTAGCAGCTGTAGTAGCATTAGTAGGGTCAGTGTGACTGTTAAAAGCTTTAATCAGCTAAAATACATACGCTAAATTCATAGCTGAGATACGTAAGTGTGTATTGTCCTACTTGCCACGTCAAACAGCATAACCTGGCTGTGGATTCACTTTCCATCTCCCTGCAGTTGAAGCAAAACAGCTTGGTCAAGGACCTACCCTGCCTGTGATTGGATAGTTGAAAGAGCAGAAACCCCCTGATCAGGTCAACACACAGCTCACCCCCTATAAGCCAGTTTCCTATGCATTAAGCCATGTAGCAAAGCCTAGTTGGCATTAACTTCTGCCCCTTCTACTCCCACTCTGATTTTTATAGGAAACTACAAGTCTGTCATGTAAAGATAGGCTGGGAATTTTGAAAAGTAGTAGATAACATACTTAAATGGGGATGATTTGTGTGCATCTATACTTTGATGTGAAAATAAAGGGTACATATAGTGTAGGTCTGCTTAAAAACATTGTTACTCACCTCCTGTGCTGTGTACTATTTGTAAAAGAGATGTATATAAATAAATTGCAATGGCCGCTGGCAGATGGTGTCATGGCTCCTGAAATTCACCCGATTGTTGAGCGCATTATGGCACAGGGGAGCTGCTGCTTATGCATTACGTGACCACTACGGAGTTTTAAAAAAAAAAGGTTCTACAAACAGTATCCTCCATAGGTAGGAGGAGGAGGAAGCACTGTTTTTATGCAAACTTCTATGCAGCCATTTCTTGAACTTCAAGTCTGTTTTCTTGTAACAATGTATTATTATTTTCACACATTTATCATGGTTTGAATAGTCAGTGAATGAATGACAGCTGTTCAGTAAATTATGTTAAGGCTTTTGCTATGAACATTCAAGACAATTATGACAGAAAACACTATATATGTCTAAGAAAGGAAAAAAAATGATATATGTTAGGGAAGAGATGGAAAATGGTGCCAGGGTGCCAGTCTACAAGTGGGTCAAAAAGCACATTGTGGTATTAGAACTCATAAATAAATGTAAAAAAATCAGCAGTGAACACATACATCTAAACAATTCTGTAAATTTCTAAAATGAACTTGGACATAAACAACATCTTTGTCAGGGAAAGGTTTTCTCAAAAATAGGAAATATATGAATGAAAAATGTAAATTGAGCAGAACATATTAGGAATTATGTTTATGCAGGGCAGATGTAAGCTGCAGCTGCAGCAGAATCCTGTTTACATTCTTGATGGGTAGAGAAGCAGAAAGCCTCAGATATGTTCACTTGACATGAAGAATAGGAGAACCTCTTATCTGCAATCCCTTAGCAGCCATATGCAAACACACTGAGTGAACTGCTCTGTCTGCTATGACAGCAAACAATATTAAATGAAACACAATTATCCCTTTACTGTTTATATCTGAGAGGCTTTGCAGCAAAAGGCACTCACTGCACTGGTATTATAACCTAGGAAAAAAAAAATTAATTTGTTATTGTTTCACTTCAACATAAAACACAGAATCCTGAATGCACCAGGATGGTTCAATGACCTATTGGGTGCTGTCATCATTTCACAAAAAACATATTCAGGATGCTTATGTTGATAACTTAAAGTTGCCAGAAGAAATTAAATACTGTGTGAAAAAAAAAAAACTAAAAAAAAGGTATACGTATACAATATATATATATCAATGGGGAAAAATATCATGCTGGATATATATACTGATAAAGATTGGGTAATGTGTTAGGAATGTAAGGATTCCCCATCGTTTGATGAAACAACAGAGGACTGAATGCAAACACACCCAGAAAATCAAAGTGAAAAAATTTTGCAGCAGGCTAGTCCATTTTGTTAAAATTTCATTGCATCAACTCAATATGGTACTCAGTTTATATGGCATGCTTGTCTGATAATCTTGGGGCATGCTTCTAATGAGATGACGGATGGTGTCCTAGGGTATTTCGGCCCAGATCTGGACCAGGGCATCACTGTGCTCCTGGACAGTCTGCGGTGCAACCTGACGGTGTTGGATGGACCAAAACATGATATCTCAGAGGTGTTCTATTGGATTTAGGTTAGGCAAGTGTGGGGGCCATTCAATGGTATCAATTGCTTCATCTTCCAGGAACTGCCTGCATACTTTTGCTAAGTGAGGCCAGGCATTGTCATGCACCAGGAGGAACCCAGGACCCACTGCACCAGCGTAGGGTCTGACAATGGGTCCAAGGATTTCATCCCAATTCCTAATGGCAGTCAGGGTGTCATTGTCTAGCCCAGTGTTTCTCAATCTTTTTTCAGTCAAGGCACCCTTTACAATTATGGACAGTCCTGAGGCATCCTTTACAATTATGGACAGCCTTGAGGCACCCCATTCTAAAATGTGAAAAACTATTTTAATAGTTTTATATAACGCAGCAACATCCACACCTGTAGGACACCCAGCATTGGAGGTGATTTATTCTTCCAAAGCAAATATACTTTTGCACACTGGTACTGAGTAGTATTCCAGTGTTTCTCTTCTCCCTCAGTTTTATCCATCACTGAGCTAATGTGTCACCCCCACTGATGGAGAGGGGCAGGGGAGGGTAAAACTAGGATGCTGTGCAGGCAGCTGACATCCTCCTTATCAGCTCATGATTTCATTGGTTTACAGGACACCAGCAGCTAGAAGGTCGTAATGGTGCACAATGACAACCTGTGGCTTTGTGTAACTAAAAGGCAAGCTTGTTCCACCTGCTGGCTTGTATACAAGTTTTGGGGAAATTTTTAAGACATTTTGCCAAGGCACCCCTGAAGGAACCTTAAGGCACCCTGGTAGAGAAAGGCTGGTCTACTCTGTAGAGATCCGTGCGTCCCTCCATGGATATGCTTCCCCACCCCATCACTGACCCACCACCAAAACGGTCATGCTGAACGATGTTACAGATGGCGTGACATTCTCCAGGGCTTCTCCAGACCCTTTCACATCTGTCACATGTGCTCAGGGTGAACCTACTCTCATCTGTGAAAAGCACAGGGCACCAGTGGTGGACCTGCCAATTTCTGATGTACAATGGCAAATGCCAATCGAGCTTTATGGTGCCAGGCAGTGAGCACAGGGCCCTCAGGCCACCCTCATGAAGTCTGTTTCTGATTGTTTGGTCTTAGACATTCACACCAGTGGCCTGCTGGAGGTAATTTTGTAGGGCTCTAGCAGTGCTCATCC